AGATAATAATATTTACATTTTTATAGTAAGACAATTTTTACAAAAACTTTAGTAATTAATTCTAATGTATAAAACTTACATTGTACCTATATTTGTATGTCATGAACGAGAACAAATTTGTTTAAAAATACTTTTAATAGTCATACTTTACTTTTATACAGTTATATAAATATTAAATACTTAAATGTTATAAGATATCAATCGATATATTATAAAATCGTGAGCATTATTACATTTCTTAAGAAAATAAATAACACAGTTATTGTGCATAACTAGATACAAAATTTACATGTGTTTAAAATCTTAAAAATAAGGTGTTCTCATGCTTTATAATTTTATCAAAATAATCTTTTATATGCATAAATACTTTTTTTCAGAAAAATGTATTAAATACTTAGATTTATTAATTTTACTATGAATATTTATACATATTTTTTCTTTTTTTCTTATTCACATTCATAAAATCATAACTGATTGTATTTGTATGTTTTCTTGAAGAATACAGTAAACGTCAAGAATATGTCCACAGGAAAATATGGTGAAACATCTATAGCAGATTTATAACCTCCCCCTCCTAAAAAAAAAATGATAAATTACTTTTGTTTATTTTTATTAAATTAATATAAAAAAAATTTTCATTAGGTAGAAACAAAGAACAACTCATCTTTACAGACAAATTTAAAACCAATTATGACAAATAATTCAGAAATTGTTGAAGTGTTCTGGCCTTTAGATTGGGCTGCTGAACAATAGGCTCAAAAAAAGAAAAAAATAATTGGTTTTTTTGTCAAAATGGATTATTGGAATGTAAAACTCGCTTTGAAGTTGGCGGTTTAAAAACATTCAAGAGTCAAAACTTTGAAATTTCTAAAGAATGGTCATTGTGTTAAATTAGTGGAGGTTCAAGTACTAATAAAGTAACTATACTTGTTGTCCTTTGTAATAAAATAAAAAAACATAGTTTGTCTAAAGCACATAAGACAGTTTTTTTATTTATAACACAGAAAGAAGAAAATGTTCTATCTAAACAACTTGAAAAATCAGCATTTATCAAAAATGGATCAACCATTTTAATTTTTCATACAGCATATTATAATGCAAAATTTAACCGTCCATTTAATGATTTATTTAATCTTTTAAAACTACAGTAACTCAATGGTATAAAAATTGGCACAACTCTACATTCTAGATATTCTTGTACTAATATTATTGACCATATATCTTTAAAAATGAAACAAAAAATTGTTTCCAATATTGTGGAGACTGAAGCTAAGTTATTGGTTTTAATTGATGGATTTGCTACCATCAGTGCAATTTATGGTATGGTTGTTTATATTAAAGCTTCCAACTCTTTTGATGATCCTGTTTTTATTTTTTTAGACCTTGTGGAGTTGGTTAGTCAAACAGCAAAAAACATAGTGAATCAACTTATTGACTGTTTAAAAGAGTCTGGTTTTAATAAGAATTATTAAATACATAATTGGATATCATTTGTAAGTTATGGTGCAAGCATATTATTGGGGGGGAAAAATGGTGTGGCAAATCATTTAAAAGAGAGATATCCATTAATATTCAGTTTAAACTGTATGAATCATAGATTAAAGCTGGCAGTTAGTGATTCAATTAAAGATGTTAACGCTACAAATCATTTCAAATCATTTATGGATTCATTATATGTTCTCTATAATGCATCACCAAAAAATCAAAATGAACTTAAAAATATCTGTAATGATTTGGATACTATGTTTTTAAAAGCTGGACGTGTATTGGATGTCGGCTGGGTGGCAAGTAATTTAAGAGCAGTTAAAGTGGTATGGAAAATGTATGAAGGTTTATGTAACCACTTTTCAAGTGCATCATCAGACCCAAATAGAGATAGTAAAACAAGAGCCAAGTACAGTGGATTAAGAAAAAGGCTAGCTAGTCCTGAATTCCTATTAGATCTTGGTTTAATGTGTGATTGTTTTAATGAACTATCAGTCTTGTCAAACATACTCCAGAAGCGTTCTTTAACTTTAATTCAAGCTCAGCAACACATAAATAGAAGTGTAAGAGTTTTGATTTCATTTAAAGACTTAAAAGGTGAGTATTTGACTAAAGCAACAAATGCTACAAATAACATGACTTTTAAAAACATTAAATTAGAAAAAAACTCTAAATTAATAAACATAAATCATAATTAATTTCTAACCAGTCTTGTCAATAATTTGAAAGCTAGGCTCTTGGGTAATGAATAAGACTTATCAATACTTCAAAATATGCAAATTATAGATGTGAGTGGCCAAAAGACGTAAATTATAGTAATATACGTTATGGTGAAGATTAAATGAAACGATTATGTAAACGTTTTCAAGTTTATAAGAATGACGCTATCAATGGTTTCATACAAATAATAGATGATCAAACAATTTCATTTAAAAATGTTATACCTGAATTTTATAACTTGATTTAAACTTTTCCTTGTTCAACATTAGAGTGCAAACGGGATTTCAGTCTAATGAATAATATATGTACTAAATTACGTTTTACGTTAACAATTAAACACGTAGCTAGTCTTATGTTCATAAATATAAATGGTCCTCCACTAGATGAATGGAATCCAATAAACTATGTCAATAGTTGGTTAATAAATCATAAGACTACTGAAGATACAAGAACAAAAAAAAAAAAATGTGAACAAGGAACAAGAAACAAGAAAGGAAAAAAAAGCTTTATGGAAAATACTTATGATAATTAATAAAATATGTATTATTATTATATTGATTTGATGAATAATTTTATTGTTATAAATAAAGAAAACTTTTCATACATTTATAATTATTTGGTTTTAGTTAAAAATGTTATATTTTAGTAATTGATAATTAAATAGGTACTCTGAAATATTGTGTGTATGGGAAAAGAATTTCATGCATTTGCATATTTTATATGATTAATTTCATCTTGTGTAACAAAATGCAATTCACAACATTCAGAATTAAAATTTAAATACCTACTCACATTTATAGTGCATATTTTGACTATTTTGGTGTTAATAAATGCCATCATATATTTTATTTTAAGACCATATTTAAAATATTCGATCATTGTGTAGTTTAATTGAATTGGTTGGTTGTTGAAAAATACTTATATAGGTAGTTGTAATGCGATAGTTAATATTAAATAATAATTAATAAAAGTTTTAACTGTATTCAACCTAAGTGAGAAAAAAAATTTTTTAGTTTAATGTTAAGGTTATATCATTGACACCTAAAATCTAACCATGTCAAGAAAGCGTATACCCACAAATTATTGTAGCAATACACCACTGAATTCACATCCACCAGCTGGTCATAATATTTTTAAGCCATCATTCATAAAATGTGTAATTGTTGAGTGATTAGTTATTTCCAGTTACTTACATGCAATACACATTTATCACAATTATTTAATGCACCAATTAAAAGATTAGCTACATAGTGGCCATTTATATCAGTATAGCCTCATAGACACCTATTCAAATAAAAGAATCTTATGATTTTATAATATACTAAATTTTTAAAATGTAACATGCTTGTAGATAGACTTTTTTCAGAGTACTCTCATCTACCTAGTATATGCTTTTTGGTATATTTCTCTAAGTACCTAACTTTTACATTTAGAAACTTGTAACTTGTACATTTGTATATTGGCAGCAATCATACTCATACATAAATCTTCATAACATAGTTGTGTGTTTGGTACAAACCTGGCAAAATATAATTGATCCATCTGTTCTGTAGTAAATGCATTCATATCTTTATTAAATGGTTTAATCCATTAAATCACTAAAGCTTTAAATGTAGAAGGGATTTTCGGTATTTCAATTTAATATTGAATTAATGAATCTTTGAACCCACGTTAACTTGACAACACACCAAAAGCTAGACACTTGGTAAAGTAGTACACTTAACGATATTATAATGAACATGTTTAACATTTTTAGATTATTGATATGTGATATAATAGATACGAACGTTGCGATATCTCTGAAGTTTTTCATTTTATATTAATTCATCTCTAATCACAGAATAATTCATTTTCTTATCAACATTGTTTTACACTTTTCGTCTTGATAAGGAAAGAAACTGACAGAAGTTAATAATATTTTTGCATTTTTTTATTAACCATTACATTTCTTGTAAAACATTCAAATTAAACCACATTATGGTAATATATTCCTAAGATACATTATTTTGTACAAAACATTTTTTAACTATGAAGTATGCTTTTTTATACTTTACAATTTTTTGTACATCAATTAGTATAGGAAAATGATTCGTCGAGAAAGCTTATCCAATAGGAGCTACATACTTTCAGTAAAAAAATATAAAAACATAAAAATCCGGTCTCCACTTCTAACTAATAATATTTTGCGTTTGACTTTTTCCTGTTGAAAAAAATATAATTGTATACAAATATAATATTACCTATATTATTTTATAGTCTTTATATGATGTTCGATTATAATATAATATGATTCTAACAATTTAAAGTCTTATCTTAAAAAGTTAAAAGTACCTATTAAACAATATTTCAATGATGTATAACCTGTGGTATCAAAAATAAATCTTTTTAAAAGTGACATCTTCTGAATCTCTGATCGTTCTAAATTGAGATGGTTTACAAACATGGTTGTGGCGAATGTCACAAATTTATCTAAAAATTGTCTTAAAATGTTCAAATAATATTAACTACTAATTTAAATATACTACACTATTGATACTATAATTACATAATAATATAATATTAATAAAATTAAAAATATTCATTTATTATTTGATGTCAATGGCAAATTGGTGTACGTATTTGTGCTTATGTGGTGTGACGATCTACCAGTTACCAATGACGAAGATGTGAAAGTGTTTTATTAAATAATTTTTTATTGAAAAAAATAGCCAAAAGTAAAAAAAAAATTTTAAAAATGTGCATTTAAAAACTAATGTATCATAAATATTATTATAATGCTTAATAACTATATATCAGGTTAGTACAATTGGTTAATCGGTGTTGTTTGGTTCCAATACACGTCCAACTGAAAACAATGATAACAATTATTAGGTAAAGATCTTTAAGTTTATGAGTTTGGGTAAAGCCATAAATGTTTAAGAGTATTCCTTGATACGATTAGGAAGGATGAATAATGGAAGTTTTCGATTATTTTTGATCGAGATTCTCGATCCTATTAAAGGTAAATTTATTTCAATCTGAGTATGAAAAAAATTATATATCATTGGTACAACCAAGTTTTAATTTAAATTTGAGAAAAAAATTACATAAATTACATGAAGTTTTAAAGATTTTACAATTAAAGTAGCAGTTTATATACTTCAATTCCATCAATACATTTTACATTTTTACTTATTATTTTTTCAGATAACTTTACTGTAGAAGCGTGGTAATTTTTTTTTTTTTATGATCCCGGATAATTCTTAATGATATTTGAATAAAAATTTAGTGGGTCATATTATCATTTATCATTTAGAATAATGAATAAAGGATCAACATCTCAAAAATGTGCAAAATACGATTATTCTTATTACTAAAAATTAATACCTAAACCAACAAAAAAATGATCTACGGAATTCAAATAACGCACTTTAATGCCTTTATGTTCCAATAATGACGTATTTCAAGTAGATACTTACGTAGTTCAAAATAATAGCCGATATAATCAACCTCTTCTATGGGACTTAATATCGGGGAATCGGTCATCATCGATCTGTAATCATAATTGTAAGGATTGAACTATATAATTACAAAATTTACTATTTGGATCTATTCGTGAGTTATTATTCCAACTATCAATTTAAGGTTTCAAAAATAGTTGACGATTTTTTTTTTAAACAAATTTCTATTAAAAGTTAAGGTAATTTTAACTATTTGTTAGTTTTATTGAATAATTTATTAAAGTTTTAAATTAGAAATATCCAATGATAATTATTCATCACACGATGTCACGATAATTAAAATTTTAAGATAAGTTATAAATTACTTACTCTTCCATTTCGGGTAGACAATAATTTATTTTCATGTAATGTCTAGAACATGGTCTACTACAACATTCATCGACAATTCCTCTTTTTGACCTTTGATGTACACTACCTGAAATTTCAGTAAATTATAAATCACGATAAATATAATTATTCAATAAACGTATTCAAATAATATACCTAATACATTATAGATTATCACGTAATCCATAAATTACAATTCTTTAAATAATTATTGTTTATTGTAAAATAATATAAAGTAAATATATTTTATATCTAATAATAAAAATCAATAACAATTATTTAACTAATATTTGTACTTGTATTAAGTATCTTTTAATTTTAATTTGAAACCTAATGGCTAATACATAATATTATTTGTGAATTTTCATGAGACTTGTTTTCTTCTTTCAGAATAAAACTTTAATGTACCTATTTCTTAACCTCTAAAAATTCAAAATTCTAATTAGGTATTCTATAGTTTATATTATCATAAAAATTTATAATTAAATTCCATAGAGAAATTATATTCACCTCTAACTTCGTTATATCTACCCCTGCAAAGAATACTAAGCTCGTTGGATAATCGTTGGCCGCAAAATTGTTCCATTTTATTCATGTAGTACTCGTTGTCGAGTACAGGCAATCCCACAACTGTTTTGAGACATGATTCAATCATGAGAATACTAATAATGATAAATAACTTCATTTTTATCTGAAATATACAAAACATAATAACGTTTAATTTTTTTTTAATAGCGAAATAAATTAACAAGAAAAAAAAACATATTATTGATTAAAATATAAATGCCATTTTTGATATCTTTGCCTTTTACTGTCAACTAGTTTAAAAAAAAAAGACCTGAATTAATTTTGTAATTAAAAATAACAAATTTTAAAAGAGGACCAAACCAAAAGGTGGACCTATCTCGAATAATAGCAAATATTTATTACAAATTTAAATCGTTTGTATTATATAAGAAATAATTAAAATATATTAACATTGAATTTAAATGCCTACTTTTTAAATTTTTTGTCGAAAAATGTATCATTGAAATTCTTATTATTAATAAATGCTACGTGATCAGCTTTAAGCACTATCTAAATAAGCCTTTTAATATTTTAAATAATTTTAAAAAAAATGTACAGTAAATATATATCTAACTAACCCATCTAAAAATACTAGATTTATCCCTGTTTGATGTTTAAAAAAACTTATAAGCACATTAAGTGGTCAATAAAAAATTTAACACTAAGTAATATGCTGATAGTAGTAAATTTAACATACTTGTGCAAAAAAGACTTCCGTGGACGTTATAAATGATGAAGACGGTTCGAAGACTTTTATGTATCTCAAGACTGGAGCTAAACTGAACTATTGTCGTTTAAGGTACGGCATAACCGGTCATATCTACCTGTTTGAATAATGATCGTTATAGGTAGAGAAGGTTTAGTAGTGGGGATTGATAAGGCCAATCAGATGACGAAGAAACTTACAAGAATGGAAGGTTATGAAATACCAGTATCCATCAGTTATGGTGGATATGAAATTCCTTTTAAATCTTTTAAATGTGTATTGATGGGTATTTAATTTAATGGCTTTTATTCGTATACATTCCTGAATAGCCTCCCACAGCGATTGAGTTTTTGAATTTCAATAAATTATATTTATATTTTTGAAAACACATTTTGGGTTGATAAAATGGATAATATACAATTCTATTGTCGAAACGCACTATACTACCTATTTATTAAATAAAAGATGATGTATAGTATTCAAGAAAAATTTACAACAAAAACGTGTGACGAATTCGGAATAGTGAATGTCGTTCGATCAATCTTTGAATACGATTCATCCAGAAAAACGTGCCTCTCTATTATAATACTTTATGGGTATAGTTGTGTATACATTTTAGTAAGCCATACTTAGGTTTTATAGAGCATATCATGTGAATTTAAAAACTTACAAAATTATAAAGCAATTATTATACAGTTTGGAAATCAGCAGAGATGCCAAGCAAATAATTTACACTTTAAATTCAAATACAAAAATTCATTCGACTTCAACACGCTTGGTATATAAAAGTTAACCGTAATATTATATTCAGACAGTAAACGATGTAACAATAAGTTTATATAATGGTACTATGAGTGTGATTACTGATTATATAATATCAAAATATATTATTTGTTTACGTTCTTTTTGTATTAATTATTACATGAATATGTGCAAAATATATTTTTAAATAATCTTGGTAAGACTATAATTTTGTTCAAAATGTGCAAAACTGTGAAAAAATGTAAATATCAAATACTTGCAGAGGGTCCTAACTCATAATTCACAATGCAATGATCAAATATGACAAGACACAATAGCCAACATAAGTTTAATATTTATATATAATTATAAAGATTGTAAATACTGTAATTATCATAAGTACTTAAACTAAAACTGTTTCTCAACTATTATAACTCAACTGTAGTATCACACTTAAAAACACACATGCAACATTTCTAACGACAATAACTAATGGCTATAGACGCCAGGTTATTATTTTTTTTTTTTTTGAGATAAATAAATAATATATATATACACATATGTATTTAAAATATACACACATGCACAGAGGGTTGATTTCTAATATTGCTGATAGGTACTGACGCCGAAAAGATTAACGATTAAACACATACCAGAGCCGATATTTATGTTATAAATGCATTACCTACCTGTAATACAACAAAACATTAAGTAACTACCTTACCACGCCGAAGGTACCTTCGGTGTTATGAGACACTGCCAGTCTGGCGCCACACAAATATGGCCTACTCATTCTTTGGAAATGATTTTAAATATTATACTTAAAATATAAAATGATTTCATATTTAAAATAAATATATTTAATTTCTAAAGTATATTCTAAAGTATTCGACGTCATCCATTCGGTATACGTGTAAAAATAAAGTAAAATTGCAACCGTTTTAATATTCTGAGCTGAGGGTACACAATACAAATAACACCCATGTGCAAAAATCTTCATTTTAAAAAATACTTAATTATTCTTTTCGTATAAGGAGTATGAATTCTTATACAAATATAAATGTTTTGTAAAAACCATACGAATACAAAAACGAATCGTGTGAATTGTTCATAAATGGACATCATTTGTACCTATACATTTCTGAATATAGCCCTCCCAGAGCGATTGAGTTTTTGGTTTTACACAATAAGTTATATTTATATTTTCGAAAACGCTTTTTGGGGTAAATAATAGATATTATACGATTCTATTGTCGGAAACGCACTACCTGTATTTTACTTATTTATTAAATAAAAGATCCTGTGTAGTATTCAAGAAAAATGTCTAACAAAAACGTATGACGAATTCGGGATAGTGGATATCATTCGACCAATCTTTGAATATGATTCAAAGATAACCTATTATACGATTTTATTGGTATTACAACACTACAGAGCATCTGCCGGAAACGTATATATTGACAATATTTGACAGTGAAATATTTTCCATTCCGTGATTCCAAGTTATTTTAAAAAGAAGTGGAATGCATATCGAGGGATATCATCAAAAGACTATAAATACACGGTTATACACATCATAAATGTGAATTTATTGTGAGTGTATTTACCAACTACCTAATCGCCATATGGCTTGTTCTCGCCGTAGCCGTCTATAATTCAGGTATTGTAATCACGTTTTAGCAAAACGGGTAAGGAGTCATTGATTAGGGTTTGATAGAGCGGTTTTGGAACAGTGTTCCTTCAATACTTTAAAGTTTTATCAGTGGTGTAATTATGATTTTTTTCTAGGGAGGATGTATAACTTATTTGATAAACATAAAGTAGGGGACTTATAACCATGCCCTTATAGTCCTATATTCTATGTTATATCCATGATTATAACATAATATGAGTAGTTTAATAATATTAAATCCAGTATAAGTCAATGCATTAAATATTTTTAAAAAAGATTCTGGAGGAGCTCTATCTTCTTATCCCACCATAACTATTCCAACCTAGGGGAGAAATATTTTTCATGCAGGAGTGATTCCAGAAAGGGAATAGTAAGTTCCTACACGAGAGTAACAGGTAATAAATTAATTACATACGTTAGTTCTTACAAATATGGTGTGTTAATTCTTACACAAATATAAAATTGAGACGTGTAAATTCCTACACGTTAAAAAAAAGGTACGTAAAAAATTCTTACATGACGAAAAAAATGTAGTAAAAAAAAGTTCAAATATATATTAAATATAAATTTCATAAATAGATAGGTAATGATAATACAAAATAATAAAAATATATACTTTGTAAAAACAAAAAACAAAATTAATCAATACTCAATACAATTATTTATATTTTTAAGTTTTAAAAATAAATCTCATAAAATTTAAAATAAAACCGCATACCCCATGCGATTTTCACTATTTTATATTATCATTACCTATCTGTTTTAGAAATGTATTATGCAATTTTTACAACTTAAATTTTATATTATTTATGAAATGTATTAGGTATTATGCCCATTTTTGTTGTTTTTATAATCAGTTTGAGTAGATATAATTGTTGTTTAATAATAATAAATATGAAATTTTAACTTTTTTGTAACAACTCATATATATATATATATATATATATAATATATATTATATAAGTAGTATGATTTTAGCGGTTCTAATTCACTAGTCCCTAGTCCCTAGTCCATGCGAGTCAATGCCGCGCGCTGCCATTCCCCTCCATGCCGTGCCCGGTCGTGCCTCCTCCACTACATGCTGTGCATTACCCCCTCCACCTCTTTTATTACCCTAGCATGTAGTGGAATGGTGGGAGGTGGCACGGCCGGGCACGGCATGAAGGGGAATGGCAGCGCGCGGCATTGACTCGCATAGACTAGTGAATTAGAACCGCTAAAATCATACTACTTATATATACATACATATAATTTTTTCTGCCGCATACGTACCTACCTTTTTCACCCTTTTAACCTTCGCTAGAAGTGAACGGTGTACATTTGACATATACATTCTTTTATATATGTATTATAATGGAATATGTTTTAATATATTATGGAAAATAATAATTATATATTATCGAGTTATAAAACCGGTATACATAATAATAAACTATTAATTTAATACATAATTTGATAAATTTGTAACACTTAATGATCTTTAGAAATCGTTTTATTTTGTTGTATATATTCATAAGTAATTATGAACTGTTGATTATTTACTATGTTGGATAACTGATATTAATAAATTTAAACAATATAATAATAATTATTATTTTAAAATATTGTAACTGTAATGTATAATATATTTATCATAGTACAAGGCCGTAAGGAACAGTCATCCAATAGTGGAGCAATATCAAAATAATAAAAACTAAAAAGTATAGTGGACATTATATTATGGTATAGCGGTGCGCGATGCATTTAAGAAAACTAGAAATTCTTCGTATTTATCATTTGGATATTACTATAAAAATTATCGTTGCCTGATAATGGAAAAATATACATTTATATTATTTACTTTTTATATCAAAATACACAGTCTAATTATGTGATCAACAACATAGTCAACCTTGGTCGTTTTTTATAAATATAAAGTAAGAAACACGTCGTGACGCAATCAACTATATACCATGTATTAGGTATTAATTTCAGGAATATATAGGTATATATATATTACTTTTTTTAAACCACTAAACTACTACAGATGAATCGGAATGCTTTTAGAGAAATCGATTTCACATTTGATAAATTATATAACTCACTCACACCATTGTATAATGTACTAAGTCCATGCGACCTTGCCCAAACACGTTCATTTGGATAGTTTTTTTTTTGTGTATATACCAATTTGTTACTTTTTTTAATTGCCTTAGATTAAAAAAAATATGAACGTACATGGTACAAATTTGTGGGTAAAAGTACTTAAGTGTCGAAGAACTAACGGAAACAACAGTTCGATGGCGTCTCGGTTTGGCAGGATTAGATAATATATTGTTATTATTATAGTTATAGAATGAATATTTTTTTTAGTGTTCGAAAGCGTTTAACTGGTTTTTCGTCTTAAAAATGATAATAATAATAATATATTATCTGTGATGGAATTTCTTTAATGTATTATAATAATATTATATTATATTTATGGTTGTATTCACTCTCTTTTCAGTATATTTTCTTGTGTATATATAATAACATTCTGAGAACTTAACCTCCGTCATATTATACATACTACGTACAATACATGTATACCACAAGTGAACCCTCTGACTAATCCGACATTCCGACCCCATGTGGAACTGCACAATGCACACTGTGAACGATCGCACACGTCGATAATTTAATACCTATATATAATAAATATTATGTTGATAAAAACGAACTAAAACCCATCTGTCTTAAATCTGTAAATTTCTAATATACTTATGTACCATACGAGATCATTAAAAAAAAAAAAAAAAAAATGAAATATTATATATAATTTAATTTAATAGAAATGCTGCAGTAGGTACATCGTTGGCCGAAGGTAAAAAAATCTGTAAAATATCTAATTTTATAATGTGATTAAGTGAATTATAATTCTATCATTATTTAATGAATTTTGCATTTTAAATAAAAATTTTAATTGATATCTATTTAGTCACTTATAAAAACAATATATTATTAAAAGATATGAAATGATGCGTGAAAAAAATCATATTATTTGATATATATTTGTTCAGTCACAAGTCTCCTGCAACTTGAGCGATCAGCCATAATGACTACACCACTGAAATAACACGTTTTTAAGACAAAAATTAACTTAACAAATGAGGATTACCTTGGTGAAAGGGGACCATACAAAATTTGGAACAATATATATGGCATACGCAAAGTATACATGAGTTTTATTACACGTGCATAAAAATTATTATAAGTGGCAAAAAACCACGTAAAATATTATTCAAATATTAAAATTCAATAAGATATTATCATAAACATGTTTACTGTTTATAATATTATGATACTAGATATAAAATATATCGTCGTGATGATAATAATAATAATAATCGAGATATATTTGTATTGTATATTTGTATGTATACTATATAATAAAAAGACAGGGATGGCCTGGGATAAAAATTCATGCCGGGAAAATTTATTATCCTAATTCCTAACCTAATCTGCGGTGACAGCGTGACGATGGGCTGTTCACCAGCAAAGGTCACACGGGTGACAAACTCTTCGTCTCCTTTGATGACTCCGATATCGCACAGTATCGTGGCTGTTGACCCTATAGGCTATAATAGGCAAAGGAAGGTAAATTAACTTTGTCTAATCTTTTGGTATCGTTGATCCCATAGAAGACGAAACTTTAACGTCGTTAAAGTATGTATATAAAAATCCGTATCGCTCGATAACTTACGCGAACAATACTTGAAAAAAGGAGTTTTTATAATAATTACAATGAAGTAGCGTATAGCCAAACAATCAGTGGTGTCGTTTTGTATAATGTTCAGTTATTCAAAAATTATTTTAAAAAACAGCTAACAAAAAATACCTGGCTTTAATAATTGATGATTCTATATATTAATATGAAATGTATTCACTATAAACCATTATAGACATATTTGAAAAATCGTAGTGCATAGCATGTGCTAAACAAAACGGTATTTTAGATCGGCGGAGTACCTACGATTGCTCGCGTTTTACTTTTTTGGGTATACGATTGCGCGCAGTGCCAAAATAAAAAAAGACACAATTTTGACTATTCAAAGGCGTACGATTGCGCGTGAAACTGGGTGTGACGTTACCAAATTTTTTTATTAAACAAAAATTAAGTTATATAATAATTATTTTTGATATTTAAATAATAGTCATTAGTCATATCATGTATGATTATAGTAGATATAAGTATATTCATACATGTCATATTGTATGGAAATTTACAATAAAAATAATAATTCTGATTCATTATAAAAGCATGATTTAAAATATAACAAATTAATTCTTAGTGATGGAAAGTTTATCTGGTATCGAAAACAATAAGTAAAAAAATTTATTATAATTCATAATAGTATCGTACGGATTTACCATGAGTCTATATACTTCAATATTTGACAATGTTGCTTGAAAGTAAAAATATTAAGTATAGCGCGCGCAATCGTATCGCGCCCTTGTAGATACTGTTGTGTTGGAAATTGGATTAAATAATAATTTAAATCGGTGACGCTTAGCGATTAACAAAAATGAAATGCAGACCTATCTTCTTAATTACCGTAATCAATTTTCTAAGTACAAATAGTGCGTAATTAGTACGCTTTAAAAACAATAATTACCTACACTGTGATTGTTCACGCCGCCGCCTTTTCTCGGTCCAAACCAGTCCGCATAATCGCGCGGTGTAATGAACTTTTCGACGACCTCCTTCTTCTATAATCACGGCTTTTGTCAACACCGCGTTCATTTGTCAATTATCTGTCTTCGTCTCCATCAGCGTTTGAGCTTCGGAGACGTGTCTGTTTTCGTCGCCTTTGTTTTTAGTGCGACTTTTCGAAAATCGTTCTGGCCCGTGCGACGTATATCGTTAATCACACTTCAATTAGCTATACTTATATAGTGAAGTGGTCACGTCGTGTCGCGGTAACCGGATGTCGTATTAGGTTGTCGACATACCTCTGGATTCAGTGCGATCTATCGTAAACGTTGTGGTCCGGGCGCGTTTATTTTTCATCACTTCCGTTTGCGTCTATAATATATTTAAGTAGAGTGAAGTGCGAAATCGTGTCGCGGTCGTTCGAAGTATTATTATAATTTACATTCCATATAGTATAATTATTAATACACCCGCGATACGTTTATGACGTTTACGTATATACGTCAAGTGTTGCGCCGTCATCCATCGAATCGTTGCCGACGTCGATCCACATAGATATTGTATCACTTATATTTATACTTGGTGATTACACGGGTCCGTCTTTACCCATCTTTTTGAACTGTCGGGCTGATTATCGATAACGAGTAACAACCGATACAGCAGATTAGCCGCCGATGAATTGTCGCCGCCGATAGTATCGACCATCGTCGGATATTGATAAGTTTCATTACCTAATACCTGTTATATTATTATTGTTTCGTGTGTGTACTGTCGAGAGACGTCTTGGCAATCACACCATATTTATATAGATAAACTTTACTCAATATCAATTAATATTTAAATATTATTATACATCTATTTTAACTACATACAAACCGATGTTTGGTCTTACTATATTATAAATCGCTCTATTTATTGGCTCTCGTAGTGATATTTAAACTATAAACCTTGTATTTTGATATTATGTTTTTTGTTATTGCAATTTAAATATAATTTATTTTACTCCTAGTTTTGAACTTCAAATTTTAAAAGTGCTTTAGTGTCACAACCACAATTAGTCTAGGTACCTATATGGCTACACACCTAAAATACGTGTATATAAAAGAAGTTCACTGAATATTGAAATACTGTAAAAGAATTCGGGTTTTTTTTTATTATTTCATTAAAATATATTATATAGTATCTAGTGTAAGATAATAGGTATTAAATTGTGATGTTTTTAAAAATAAAACCATTTAGGGATATGATACTGAAATTCTTCCATAGTCGCACAACTGTTGAGATAACACTTAGGTATCCACTTTACTAGTACCTAATTCACTTATGGTGGATACATATAGGTACAAATACACACCGGCTAATTCGTAAATAATGAAACGTAAGAAACTCATTTTTTCAAAATCTTTTAACTTTTATGAAAGTATATTTCTTATAAATTGTTTTTTTTTTTTTATATTCGTGACTACTTTTAAAAACAAAAATTGAATTTTGAACGAATGGTTTATCTATGATAATTATTAATTACTAATCTATTAATTTTTATAAATTAAAATGCTGTTTTGAAAAACTTAAAAGTTATGTAAAACAAATATTTGTAAAAATAAGGTTTTTTCTGAAATATTTAGTGTTACGTTAAATGCATTACCATTACAACCTATGTATAAATATCCATTATAATGTTATACTCAAAGTATATATACCTATTAACAAAACAAGGTTTATATTGTACACACGAATATACGTTATATCGACACAAACCAGTAGGCAGCTGCGCCGAGACACACACACTCACACACATATATATATATATGATATTCAACATTCCTCGATGAATAAGTACTATATCGTACAACAATTTTAATACTCTAACACATTTCATCTGGCATTGACATTCCAGGACAATGGTTAGGGGAAGCCAAATATACATGTCTTATGTGCATGCATATACTATAGTATTTGTACAGAAAACCAAGTATTGATGTACCTACATCAGTTTGTGAACCAATGAGATCGAGATACAGTTTGTAATTTAGTCATGTTTGTGATGGAAGGAGGAATTTTTGTATACATTATAATCTAATTTCTTAATATAACTAATATGATATCAGATATAAGTACTACAGATATATATATAAGTACGTGTTTAAATATATGTTCACATGAAAATATCCTCGTTGGAAAGACGCCACAGTCGTGTGTTCACGTGGTCGTGGAGCGGGTCGAAGGGTTCATATAATTCATTACTTTTGACTATATTTTTTGGTAAATATCTATAGGAAACAATAAACTGTTAACAATATTTGATTATTATTTAAATTTGTAAGGTATGGTAAATTATTATAATTGAGTATTTGACAACAAGAATGGCGAATACAAGAGGTAGGTTTTAGGTTACAACTCTCTCTCTCTCTCTCTCTCAGCCTTCATGGGTTTGTGAAATGTAAAATACTAATATCTCATTTACCACCTCTCCTTTTAAAAAAACTAAGGACGTCACTGAGGTCTACACAATGACTATAAATATGATACTCAATCGCTTAGTGTAATAATTTTGAGCTACAATGCAGTTAATGATGTCATATATATTTATACAAATAATAATATGATATATAATATATTGTGGAGATATACGTACAACACTATAAAATACTATATCCACCCATCATTGCAGAACTGCCGAGGTGGACACTTATCCACTAATTGACTTATGGTGGATACATTATGTATCCGTACACATCGGGTGATCCATATAAAATAGCACGCAAAGTACTCATTTTTTAAAAATGACTAACATTTATGAATGTATATTTCTTATCATTTTACAAGGATACCCCGCAACAAAATGTTTGTTTATGTATACTTTTCTGGTCATCTAAACTTTAAATTGTAGTAAGTATTAGATTAGGTAATGCATTTAAAATGTATTGCTGAATTGAATTTTAAAATATTGAAAATTACAGACAACAGTTTAGTATGAAAAGAGAATCAATTCACCAAATGTTGTGTTTTGAGAAAATTTAAAATTATATAAAAGAAATATTTGTAAAAACATTGGTTTTTTTCTGAAATAATTAGTGCTACGTTAAATGTATATCATCATTAACGATGTATATATATATATATTGTCTATAACGTTATATTTAAAACATATAAATTGCCAAAATAGGAATTATATTAAATGCATAAATATATGATATACTAATTTGCAGCAGCATTGAAAGTACTATATTTATATGTAATTACATATACAAATAGTTATCGACCGACATTTTTCGATAAATATTATTAATTGATGACCAAACATTTTTTTACTCAGCTCGGACAATATTCCAGATTAAGTGATGCTAAGTACACATGTATTGTACAAATATTATATAAATATCATAGCCTACAATCAACAGCCTTGAAAATTAAATCCACAGCCAAGGATTGGTCGTCCATGCGATATAACGTATATAAGGGTATCTTAAATACATTCACATCATCGACCATTGTCAATTTAAACAGTGTTATGTGAAATTGGTTTTATCCTTTTAATATACAATCTTATAAATATTAAAATAATATCCACACGCTTAATATCTTAAACATTTTAACTATCACCCGAATTAGGAAAACAATATATAATAATAATTTAAAACTTATAATTGGTAGGCAGCGATGGTTTTAATCATAATTGGATTTTATTGATAAATAAATAAATCTGAGTTAAGCACCACACCATGTTGTATTCCGTCGAAATCGATACAAACGTCATAACAAAAAACAAAGGTGAACCATTGTTTCTTAAAGATTATTAGTACCTAGATCACAAATTTCCTTTTGTTTGGAAACTAATTTAAAAAAATGAGATTAGAGCTGTCTTCTAACAACAAAATTAGTTTAATTTCAAATGGATAAAATCTAAAAAAAAAAAAGAAGAAAAAACTTATGTAAATATGCAAGAAAAATTGTATAAAGCACAAAGTGATGGTTTAATGCAACAGACAATTGATGGATATTTGACTGCTATTGTTTATATAACATATTTACTAAAACTATAATTATATTAATTTTTTAAATTGTTTTTTTTTTTTAATAATAATTTTAATTTTTGGATATTCTAGTATAATGATTATTAATTTTAAAATAAATTATGATACACTATATAGAATTGTTATAGCATAAAAATAAATTTATGGCTTTTTTATATTCGAAAATATACATACATAATATAATAGTTATAATATATATGTTAATATATTATATTATATTATACATTTATGACATAATATATATATTAATTTCGAAACATCTAATATTTATTATAATAACATTAATCATTAACAAAATTTAAATGACTTAATATACCTTTAGAGTTTTTTAATTTAGTTTTTTATTATTTACTTTATTATATTAGAAAATCAATTTTTTGCAATTTTCAACAATGGACAAGGTTTTAAATTATATTGAAATTTGTTGGTTATATTTTTGGTAGCAAAAAGTTTTATTTTTTATTTTTCAAATCATGTTCATAATATTTTTCTGTTGTTCACATTAAAATATTTAAAACTCCAAACGTATAATAAATTATACAAACATTGTTATTTGTCTAATAGGAAACATAGTAACTTTACATTAACTATGGTATGCTTATAATATAATATTGAACATAAATAAATTCCTAGTAAAAATAAATATTTAATTAAATAAATAGGTATAGTGTAATAATTTTAATATTTTATCAACATTCAAAATAAAATAATGTGCCTAGGGACATCCAGACAGGTTACCAAGTAATGAAACTACTAGAGAGGATGAATTGAAATGTCTGATGTCACACAAAACTTAATATGTATATTATAATAATTAATTTAGGTGAACCACCTATGTGAATATAAATGTTGATAGCAGCAAAAACATTTTTTACATATCAAAAATCATGTGAGTGGTAATACTTTTATTAATTGCTTGTGCTCTTTAAATTTCTCTGTACACCACTGAATATGACCATTAACTAAATTTTTCTTCATTCATACTGTAATTATCAGCAAATAACCTATGCTATGAGTTTATGATTATTAACCCAACATTGATAAATGCTAATGCAAAATAGTTATACTTATTTCTTGTACATAAATACATTATTTTGTATGTAAAATGTGTATAAACAATTAAAAATATAAAATTATATTTATCAGTTAATAATGACTAGTGGGTATACAAATGTGAATGGGATACCTACAAAGTTAATCACTTATAAAGTACTAGTACTCAAAGAAATCTTAGTAATAATAATATATATATATATATTTTTTTAAGAATAGGTTGAGTATATCAATTTTGCACTACGTTACTAAAGAAAAAATCTTAGAGTCAAAAAGTCTCTAAAAATAAAAATATAAATGATATAAAAACCTACTTTACCTATATTATCAATAAAATTATTTTTCAATTTTAGTTCACTAATCAATAAGTGTCTTTTTATTAACAATTTAAAAATTACAAACTAATAAACATTTTTTATTTGAGTAGGAGAATTTTTGAATAATCTAGAGCCTGTTATAATATTTTATGATATTTGTTTTGAAAAAAAAATAGATTTTAAATTTACATGTTTAAAATTAAAGATATCTGGAAAATTTATGATTTTATTGTGATATATTAATTTTTTATGATATAATTTTTTATGGTTAATAATTTCATTTCTGAGTATAATTGTTTAGCAGAAAAAAAATCTAGGTTTACGTTTTATAATTTTTAGAGTGGTATTCTATGTTATTTATATGTAGTAAATATAGGTTTTTTAAATTTTATTGTACATATATATTTGCATTTGTTATTAACCAGAAAAAAAATTAAAACTAAAATAATAATCCATTTAAATTTACTTATTTTCTAAAAGTATTTTTCTTAAACAAGTAATTGTTTTATATTTATTTTATTTAAAAAGTTATAAACATGTAGCATTCAACGATTAA